CTGGCGACGGAGAATGTCCTGCTCGATACCGATGGGGTCGCATATTTTACGGCAAGATGCCCCTGACGCCCAAGCTGGAGGAATTATCGGCCGCCCATGGGTTTGGCGACATGCAAGTCTTTGATAACCACAAGACACTAGAGGTGCTGCTGACAGTAAGCAACTCCACGTGTTATCTTTTTACTCCCTTTTTGTGTTGCCTCATGAGATGAGCAAATGTGCTCCGCTATGGTGTTGTAAGAGAGCAGGCTGAGGTAGAGCATATAAAGCAACTCATTCAAACTCACCTGTCCACTTGAGAAAGACGACTGCTAACACATGATATAACAGTGTTTGACCAACAGCCATTGAAAGAACTCAAGCCAGTCGCTGATAGGTGATGAGAAGTGATCAATCACAATACGGAGACGAATGCGACAGACATGTCTGTAGCGAGTAAAACTCTCATGGTTCCTCTGGATAGCGGAAAACCCAACCTGGTTGTTGCATGATATCTCCAGGATTAATCCTAGAAGATCAGGCCAGCCATGCAGAGCAGGGTGTTCACGCATGATAACCTATGAGAGAAAAGCTCTCCGATGCAGAATCAGAGATTTCACTATAATTTGTAGGACTAGATGATCTCATTTATTGAGAAGCTTCCAAGGACAGAACACCAGAAACAAGGAGGTAGTTTTTACATACCAATATTTGCACAATCTGTATATATATATATATTGCCAGGTATATACCAATATTCGTTTTAAGTAACTACTCGATCGTTCTCCAGTTCTTTGTGACATACAAATAAACATAGTCTTCTGGATCTTTCACGAATTTTCGGAGTATCTCGACTTTATTTTCTCTGGAGATATCACGCGCGTTGGCGCCAGGCAAAGTGCATTCGGGGTCTTTGAGATGCGAGCCTGACACATAAGACATTCTTCACGACTATGAATCACAATTAACACACTACCTCAAAGATTGTTCCCTTACATTTCTGGACTGTATATGAGCATCTATGCTGGGGCATGGAACACTTTATGTATGGATTTAGGACTGGCGGGAGCATCAGAATTATACTTACAAGAGCTGGGTGACTTTATCGGGAAAACAAGACCAAAGAAATGACAGAAATCAGTCACTTCTTCTCTTCAATATCACTAATGGTAGATGACATGGACGCGGGCGAATGGCTCAATGATGTAGTGTATATGGGTTTTTTTTTTCTTATTTCTGCTACGACTTCCAAAACTTGCAATCATCACTTTGAAAAATATCCTCATACTATTAGAGAAGTATGTCATTTGAACTCAAGTCAAATGAAGTGCACAAGGTTCACCTTGACTGGGCGTCGTGAAACTACTGCTGCGTAAGACATCACTGTTCTTACATTATGTTCATGGACTTGTAAAAGACATGGTAGTCAACGCTGGCCACTTTGTGATGCACATGCCCGTAGGGTAATGCAGACGTGCATTTGTCTTTGGCATGAACAACTAGTTACGCATGATATTGTTGCGGTGAGGTTGATAGCCGAGATGAGTTTAAACACATCACCCTAGGCGAGCCGATTGTATTGACATTGTTCGGTATCACGTGCACAATCAAAATTAGCCGTTTCCTCCATGATACCTACCGCCCTTTGGCAATATCACATGCATATTTACTACATAGGTACGACCCGGATGCAAACCTATGTAAAGGGAATCCAACAATGATGGGGATTGTGTGCTGGACATTGACCAGTCGGTGGGGCTTCCTTCCTTCTCAACTCACTGGTGCTGCCTCATGCTTAGCATAAACCAGGAGGGAGGCAGCCACATTGGATAAGTTGCAGTACTTTCTCCTGGGCTCGAGGTTCATAGCCTGGCGGTATACTTGACGATCTCGTCCATCCGCTAGAACACCAGCCCATCACTTCGGGGACTTTTTTTCTCTTTCCTCGCTCCATCATCTTGTAAAGAGATCCACACAGCCATCCAATTCGATTTCATGACAATACATTATGACCAGACAAACGAACACCCCTCTCAAACGATCAACAAGCCAACAAAGAGGGTACACTGCACTAGAAGAAGGGAGAGGGGGCAGGAGAGGCGCCGGGTTTGAGACGGAGGCCATAAGTACCGTGGATCTGCAATTCTAGCGGCATTGTCATGTGAGGGATTGCTGCAGACCAGATGCAGATCCAAAGAGGAGACACCTTAGCATGACTTTTTTATTTTCCCCGGATCGATCATTGTGGGTCGATCACCTTTTTTGGTTTACACCCTTGAGTGTAACATCACCAGCAGATGGCTTGGAACCCCATTTTGCGAGATGGTTCGTAGTATCGTCTTATTTTTTTCAGGAATGAACCAAAGATCTGCTGGAGAAAATAGAAGATTGGGGACGGTCGTTGTTTTAGACGCCACCCAAAAGGAGGAGCCAAAAAAAAAAAAAAAATCAACTAGAAATTCTGCGGGGCAAGATCGCACAGCCCAGATACAGT